CACATCCACCCCCACAGGTTGGGAACCACTGTCCTGGTGACATCACAAACAACCGAACCCAGCTGTTGTTGAGTCTACAACCTCACACAAAGCATAGACAACTACAGTAGGTCACATGACACACCCCAACCCCGCCTTTACGCCATTCTGTGTTGGATGTGTTTCTCGAATTTTTCTTTTTCTTATTGTGGGACCAGAGATTTAGTCGCAGGAAAAACTTTCCCTTTCTGTCTCTTGCGACAAGCATGACAGGCGACAGTGTAACTATGCTCTCTTGTGACAAGTATAACAGGCGACAGTGTAACTATGCTCTCTTGTGACAAGTATAACAGGCGACAGTGTAACTATGCTCTCTTGCGACACGCATGACAGGCGACAGTGTAACTATGCTCTCGTGTGACTAGCATGACAGGCGACAGTGTAACTATACTCTCTTGTGACTAGCATGACAGGCGACAGTGTAACTATGCTCTCTTGCGACACGCATGACAGGCGACAGTGTAACTATACTCTCGTGTGACTAGCATGACAGGCGACAGTGTAACTATACTCTCTTGTGACGAGCATGACAGACGACAGTGTAACTATACTCCCTTGTGACGAGTATGACAGGCGACAGTGTAACTATACTCTCTTGTGACGAGCATGACAGACGACAGTGTAACTATGCTCTCTTGTGACAAGCATGACAGGCGACAGTGTAACTATACTCTCTTGTGACTAGCATGACAGGCGACAGTGTAACTATACTCTCTTGTGACGAGTATGACAGGCGACAGTGTAACTATACTCTCTTGTGACTAGCATGACAGGCGACAGTGTAACTATGCTCTCTTGTGAAGAGCATGACAGACAACAGTGTAACTATACTCTCTTGTGACGAGTATGACAGGCGAAAGTGTAACTATACTCTCTTGTGACTAACATGACAGGCGACAGTGTAACTATGCTCTCTTGTGACTAGCATGACAGGCGACAGTGTAACTATGCTCTCTTGTGACGAGCATGACAGGCGACAGTGTAACTATACTCTCTTGTGGCGAGCATGACAGACGACAGTGTAACTATACTCTCGTGTTACGAGCATGACAGGCGACAGTGTAACTATACTCTCTTGTGACGAGCATGACAGGCGACAGTGTAACTATACTCTCTTGTGACGAGCATGACAGGCGACAGTGTAACTATACTCTCTTGTGACAAGCATGACAGGCGACAGTGTAACTATACTCTCGTGTGAGGAGCATGACAGGCGACAGTGTAACTATACTCTCTTGTGACGAGCATGACAGGCGACAGTGTAACTATACTCTCTTGTGACGAGCATGACAGGCGACAGTGTAACTATACTCTCGTGTGACGAGCATGACAGGCGACAGTGTAACTTAACTCTCGTGTGACGAGCATGACAGGCGACAGTGTACTATACTCTCTTGTGACGAGCATGACAGACGACAGTGTATCTATACTCTCTTGTGACGAGCATGACAGGCTACCGTGTAACTATGCTCTCTTCTGACGAGCATGACAGGCGACAGTGTATCTATACTCTCTTATGACGAGCATGACAGGCGACAGTGTAACTATGCTCTCTTGTGACGAGCATGACAGGCGACAGTGTAACTATACTCTCTTGTGACGAGCATGACAGGCGACAGTGTAACTATGCTCTCTTGTGACGAGCATGACAGGCGACAGTGTAACTATGCTCTCTTGTGACGAGCATGACAGGCGACAGTGTAACTATGCTCTCTTGTGACTAGCATGACAGGCGACAGTGTAAATATGCTCTCTTGTGACGAGCATGACAGGCGACAGTGTAACTATGCTCTCTTGTGACGAGCATGACAGGCGACAGTGTAACTATGCTCTCTTGTGACGAGCATGACAGGCGACAGTGTAACTATGCTCTCTTGTGACGAGCATGACAGGCGACAGTGTAACTATACTCTCTTGTGACGAGCATGACAGGCGACAGTGTAACTATACTCTTGTGTGACGAGCATGACAGGCGACAGTGTAACTATACTCTCTTGTGACTAGCATGACAGGCGACAGTGTAACTATACTCTCGTGTGACGAGCATGACAGGCGACAGTGTTACTATACTCTCTTGTGACGAGCATGACAGGCGACAGTGTAACTATACTCTCTTGTGACGAGCATGACAGGCGACAGTGTAACTATACTCTCTTGTGACGAGCATGACAGGCGACAGTGTAACTATACTCTCGTGTGAGGAGCATGACAGGCGACAGTGTAACTATACTCTCTTGTGACGAGCATGACAGGCGACAGTGTAACTATACTCTCTTGTGACGAGCATGACAGGCGACAGTGTAACTATACTCTCGTGTGACGAGCATGACAGGCGACAGTGTAACTTAACTTTCGTGTGACGAGCATGACAGGCGACAGTGTACTATACTCTCTTGTGACGAGCATGACAGACGACAGTGTATCTATACTCTCTTGTGACGAGCATGACAGGCGACAGTGTACTATACTCTCTTGTGACGAGCATGACAGACGACAGTGTATCTATACTCTCTTGTGACGAGCATGACAGGCGACAGTGTATCTATACTCTCTTGTGACGAGCATGACAGGCGACAGTGTACTATACTCTCTTGTGACGAGCATGACAGGCGACAGTGTAACTATACTCTCTTGTGACGAGCATGACAGGCGACAGTGTAACTATATTCAGTCTTTACAAGCACGATGGACGACAGTGTAACTATTATTTATGACATATTCAGTGTGTGTATGTGTGTTTGAGCGATCCTGTTATTATGTCTGGTTATGCGCGCATGTGCGTGTGTGTGTGTATGTATGTATGTGTGTGTGTGTGTGTGTGTGTGTGTGTGTGTGTGTGTGTGTGTGTGTGTGTGGACACAACATCTTCCACAACACTAACAGCAGAATTAATTAATAATGATGGCACAGAGTAAGAATTTTATTTTTAAACATTGCAAAACAATTAATGCAATTTAAATGTGCATAACAAAGTACATGTCTGCTCCCTGTTTAAGGGAAAACTGTAATAATTAAATTGCATTTGAAAAAAAAATATATAAACAAAGGACTCATTTCTATGCTGCCCGAGGGCTGTGTGACCTACATGGAACTTTAAACATACATTTAGTAGACAAATAGATAGTCGATGGGTGACGGCATCTTGAATTTCATTGTGAAAGTCAAGATCTTAGAAATGTCAGTGACAATTTGGGACCTGATCTTCACGTGCAAACATATATTTCCCTTGCCCAGTAATGGCTGGCTTTTCTCTAACAAACTTGGAGTTGCTTTCCAGTTTGTTTGTTTTTTTCATTAATATTTTAGATGTATATTTTAGATGTACGATTATAGACTGCGCCGTTCCTTGCGACTGTCCTAAACATGCGGCTTCACAACCATAGACTGAAGATCTGCTGTTCCTGGCGACTGTCCTAACCACGCGGCTCCACAACCATAGACTGAAGATCCGCTGTTCTAATCAGTGTAAGAAATATTTAAAAAAAAAGCCTCTGTTCTGTATCCTTTACAGAGCGTTGCAGAAACAGCCTCAGCATTTTTTCAAACTGTTTAGTTTTACTAGACAACTTTGTGTTCACTAGTTTGTTCTGTTTTACTAGACAACTTTGTGTTCAATAGTTTGTTCTGTTTTACTAGACAACTTTGTGTTCACTAGTTTGTTCTGTTTGACTAGACAACTTTGTGTTCACTAGTTTGTTCTGTTTTACTAGACAACTTCATGTTCACTAGTTTGTGTTGTTTTACTCGACAACTTCATGTTCACTAGTTTCTTTGGTTTTATTTGACAACTTTACATTTAGTAGTTTGCCATTGCTCTCCTAAAAACGATAGGTTTTTGATAACTTTGATGAAACAAAAGGCAAAGTGGTCAGTTGCCGAACTGCGCGCAGCAGCAATCGATCCGAATACTTTTAAAATACAAAGCGTAATAGCAAGCAGACGGTTCAATGAGTTGTCGAATAAGGCAGTGACATCCATGTTGTTGAATATATAGTTACAGAGACAATGCTTCAGCTTCTTCTGAACATCGACAAAGCCTCACATCCGACAGAGCCTCACATCCGACTGAGCCTCACATCCGACAGACACTGTCCGTTGTGCTACAAGTTCTAGGCCAGCCTCACTCTGTCTACGACAAATCTGTAAAACGGATGTGCACGCAAAACTCAGTTTCTGAAACAAAGCCAATGTCTAGAAGTGGACGAACAACCAGAACGTCTCACCAGAGTTTACAACCGGTGAAAGCGAAGAAGACGAATACAGTTGCAGACAATGAGATGCAATGTTTCATCGGTGCTCTCTTCTCGTTTTCTGACAATTCACAGAAAGTGTTACGACAGGCAAGCACACAAACAGCTTTGCCATATATTTGACGATAGACATAAGGGTACTTCCCCTCACTCACTCACACACATACAGGTACTTGCCCTCCCTCACTCACACACATACAGGTACTTGCCCTCCCTCACTCACACACATACAGGTACTTGCCCTCCCTCACTCACACACAAACAGGTACTTGCCCTCCCTCACTCACACACATACAGGTACTTGCCCTCCCTCACTCACACACATACAGGTACTTGCCCTCCCTCACTCACACACATACAGGTACTTGCCCTCTCTCACTCACGCACATACAGGTACTTGCCCTCCCTCACTCACACACATACAGGTACTTGTCCTCTCTCACTCACGCACATACAGGTACTTGCTCTCCCTCACTCACACACATACACTCAAACACACACAGATAACACGCAGCACACATTTTACACTGAACGCACTCACACACAAAAACACTCATAGACACACACATTAGACAATAACTGATATTGTTTAACCTCCTTTGCTTTCAACATTCCCGCCTTTCCCCTTTTCATGTATATTTTGTTTCTGTTTTGAAAACACATATTTGTGACTATTGATGACAACCAGGAGAGAGTGAATAACGCCACTATTCACAAGACTGTGGGGCTGGACCGCAGCAGTCGTTTGTTCTTGTTTTTGATTAAATGTTTGGACCGTTGCTCCATGAGAACGTCATTGCACATGTTAAAGGTTCTGAACTCTTCCAAGTAGACATCGTCAAGGTGAAGGACGTTCATGTGCTGCCCTCTAAGCGTGAAGCCCTCCAACAGAAGCCTCGGCAAGTCGGACTCACTGGACACCTCGAACAGCCACATGCACAAATGGCGATAATCTGAAAAGTTAGTTGCATATCGTTTACAGGATGCAGTAAGTCAACCAACGATGTTATTGTTTTACTTTTGTGTGTGCAATCATAAATTTTATTGTTTTACTTTTGTGTGTGCAACCATGAATTTTATTGTTTTACTTTTGTGTGTGCAACCATAAATTTTATTGTTTTACTTTTGTGTGTGCAACCATGAATTTTATTGTTTTACTTTTGTGTGTGCAACCATAAATTTTATTGTTTTACTTTTGTGTGTGCAACCATAAATTTTATTGTTTTACTTTTGTGTGTGCAACCATAATTTTTTTTTGTTTTACTTTCTTTTTGCAGACGATAAATGTCTAATACACCACCAAGAACAGAATCTACAACACCATTATAAATACTTACATCAAACCTGCACAAAAGTGTAACATGAGAATAAACAACGCGAAATATGAGGTAATGAGGATAAGAAGGAAACATAATATCAGGAAAGTTCATGTTAACGGTAATACTATCGAATAAGTACGAGAATTTAAATATCTAGGAGGCATATTTACGGAGGATAGCAAACTCGGCAAATGATTTCACCTACCATTTAGCCCCTTCTGTTTAGACATCAAAACGTCTCTCTTCCAGCAAAGTTAGCAAATGAATAAATAGAATCTGTATCCATACTTTATGTTATCAGTGCCAAACATGGACAATGAATAGGGCACTAGAACAGCAACTAACTACATGTGAAATGCGCTGTCTCCGCAAAGTCACTAACAACACTAGACGAGACAGGCTTACGTATACCAGCATTAGAGAGAAAGTTGGAATAAGACCATGTCTGGGTTATACCGACACACATAGAAAGCAATGGTTTGGATATATAGTGGATATGCAGCAAAACCAGACTGCAAATGATACTTTTTACAGTGGAACATCTGGGACGAAGGCCAGAGGAAGGCCAAGAAAGATGTGGATGAATGGTGTAGATGTAACCAGCAAAAAGATAAAAAAATCCATCACACAAGCCACCGAGAAGTGCTAGACAAATACAGAAAACCTCGACACTGCGCTACAGCTTGGTAAAGTGAGACTACAAAACCACGACACTGGGCTACAGCCTGGTATCAGTGAGACGACAAAACCACGACACTAGGCTATAGCCTGGTATCAGTGAGACGACAAAACCACGACACTGGGCTACAACCTGGTATCAGTAGAATGACAAAACCACGACACTGGGCTACAACCTAGTATCTGTAGGATGACAAAACCACGACTCTGGGCTACAACCTGGTATCAGTGAGACGACAAAACCACGACACTGGGTTACATCCTGGTATCAGTGAGAAAACAAAACCACTACACTAGGCTACAACCTGGTATCAGTGAGACGACAAAATCACGACAGTGGGCTACAACCTGGTATTAGTAAGACTACAAACCACGACAGACTGGCTACAACCTGGTATCAGTGAGACGAAAACAGAAAGAAGAAGAATGCTTGGCCGTAATTTACAGGTTACTTAATCAACAGTAGCAGGGCGCACACAGTTTGTGGAATCCACACAAACTTTTTGCTGCCAAACAGCAGGCAGCTGACTTCCAATCCTGGTATGCTCGAATTATAAAACTGTGTACATCTCCTTATCTCTGTGATACATCTTACATCTGATGCTATCCATGTGGCCCAATACTTACATTTCTGTAACCGTCCTGAAAAGAAAAGAAAAAAACGCCTTTATAGAAGGCAAATCTGGAGACGGCATTGGTTAATTAAACCCTCTGTGCCCTGATGAAAATGGCCGATGTCTGACTGCTTTTGGTTGTAACCCCAACATCCTGGATAAGTATAAGGAGTCATGCCTGCCCCATGCTATCATCTTCGCGATATGCATCTGGCATGTCATTTCCATAGAAATGTTCATCACACATACCATTTGATTAAATTTATTTTCAGTGTTGTGATATTTGGTTGGAAAGAAATATATGATGTATTACTAAACATGTGTTTGTAACTGCCATTCTATCAGAGATATCATTGTTCATTTAAAGATTATCATCATGGCACATAAGTGCTCCGATCTCCTCTTGAGCATGTCTCCAAGAGTTTTAGGCTAAAAACGAGATAGTGTTATTTTACGCTAATGTTTAAACACAAAGTGGCTAATATTCCTGTTCTTCTTTTTATAGTCCATGTCATGTGGCGTTTGTAATCACAGCTGTCCACAGTCTTCTGCCACTTATACTGGCAATTCGTGTTGATGTAAGTTCTTCTTTGCCATGATGCCAAACTGTCCAACATCTCCTCTCTTGGTGGCCCCTTTCCTCTCAATGTTCAGTCGTGACTATGTATTCCAGCTTTTCTCTTCTCATCATGGTGGGTCTCCACTGCCAAGTGGCTAAACCGTTGGATTCGCCATGTAAAGGTCGTGCGTTTCGAGGACGCAAGTGCAGCTGTAACAGCGAACTCCAGGTATCGTCGCTGGAGCTACAGAGTTTGTGTTTTGGGCAACGGTCTAGGCGAGCGACTAGGCCTTCTGATGTGAGATTGAAGAGGCACATAGGATCACCCGGCGCAAGGAAGTCGACACAGGATCACATGGCCCAAGGAAGTCGACACAGGATTACCTGGCGCAAGAAAGTCGACACAGGATCACCTGGCGCAAGAAAGTCGACACAGGATCACCCCGTGCAAGGAAGTTGAGCCTCTCGACATGTAAATGTTTATTCTTCCCATGATATGTGCCAAGATTATGGGCTGTCAACCTCTCAGGCAGGTAATATTCTCACTACCTTAAAATGGTTATCTTTCGATGGACTTCGCATTATTTTTCTATCAAACCACGTCTTTTCAGCAGCCAGGTAATTTATCACTCACCTGTTGACTGCCAATGATTTCCTGTCGTCTTTTCTACACAACTCTCAAGAACTGTCTTTCCGGACTCAAGTTATCAAGACAAAAGACACAGAGAAAGGGGAAGCATTTTTGAAGAGATATAGCATGAACTGATCATAATGATAGGACGCTTAGAAATTCAGTTAGAGATAACCTGCCTGTACTATAAATGATTATTATTTTCAGGATATCATCAGAGCGGAGGATATCAAACATTTATTGTAAAAAACAAAAGATACTGCGCCGGGGCCAGACGGAGTCAGGTACACCCACACGCCGAGGCCAGACGGAGTCAGGTACACCCACACGCCGGGGCCAGACGGAGTCAGGTACACCCACACGCCGAGGCCAGACGGAGTCAGGTACACCCACACGCCGGGGCCAGACGGAGTCAGGTACACCCACACGCCGAGGCCAGACGGAGTCAGGTATACCCACACGCCGGGGCCAGACGGAGTCAGGTACACCCACACGCCGGGGCCAGACGGAGTCAGGTACACCCACACGAAGAGCATGAAGGCTTGAGGATATGGTTTGTCACCAACAAGAGCATCAGTACAGCTTCCGTATCCCAAGACTGGGTACTCAGCTACCTGATTTCCCCTTGCAAAACCAAGAGAGAAAAAAATAAAGCATTCCAGACTCAGCGGTTTCAGGATTATCACCCTACAAAATACTGTTGTCAGGTGCTAGAGAAGATCAGTGCTGTAAATACTACACATTTTTTGGGAAAGGGAAGAGCTGCTGCCAAAAGGTTTGAGTAGTTACCGACCACGGAAAGATACCTGGTCTTATGCAGCTTCTTTTGCTTTTGATGTTTATGAAGGTTTCCAGAACAAACAGGAGACAGTTGTGGCAGAACTTGATCTATCAGAAAAGGAACTCTTCGCTTGCTGCTGAAGATGGGGGCGGAGCACTTATGGGGGTGTCCTCAGTGCTGTTATGTCGATTCTTAATCCAAAATTCAAGTGATAAAGTTACACTGAGCAGAAAATCTCTGAAGCTTGAGTAAATTGTTTTCTTGAATTATTACATGAGTAGCATCTTGAAGACACCGTTGTTCATCTGCTGTTCCCGAAGTGCCCACATACTTTAATACATTGATTTACATTAGAAGACCCCCAATAACTTTGATTCGGTAGCCTGGGTGAAGCTTGCTGTAACTAAAGAGCAGTGACCATCAACGTACAGAGCAGGTACACAATGCCGTCTGAACATATGGGCGCGTCGCTCATTTATAAATGCTTGTTTATGCACACGCCAGAATTTTGCCACTAGCTTCCCTGGGGGAACAGAATGCTGTTAGGACAACAATATATGTTCACACCATGGCACAGATACACAGAAGGCATATGGTAGGGAACAGGGTGTGGGGAAAGCTCAAATACTTATTGCTGGGGTATGGTGTGTGTGTGTGTGTATGTGTGTGTGTTCGTGTTTGTGTGTGTGTTCGTGTTTGTGTGTGTTATGTGTGTAAATAAATACTTATGAAAGAACCTCTAAACAGATTCTAGCGCCTACTGTACACACCTGGCAGTGCCTTAAAGCATCCACTCACCTGGCTTTGCCACATCTGTGTAGTGGAGGGAAACTGGCTCGTACTGCAGCCAGGTGACCTTGATATTTTTCTGCGACTCAATTCCACTGATGACTTCGTTGTGAGAGCAGCCGGACAATGTTGTCCGGAAGCAAAGTCTGTTAGGCTGAGATGGTGGCAGCTCAGTGCGCATGCGTAGAACTCTGGCCTCCATGGGGGTAGACATCTGTATGTGGGTTTCCATCTGAGCGGCTGCATCAACGTCGCCGACGCCTGGTTCCTGCAAGGTACACAACGTATCCGTGTGTTCTGCTGCTCTAGAGCTAAGAGAAAACAAACAAGTTATCCAGAATCCTCCTGTAGACCACGAGTAATCGTACTGATTACATTTATGTATGAAATAGGTACTCACAATGTTACGATTCCCTTCCCATCCATTTTCCCGACATACTCTAAAACTGACAGTAGAGGGATGTAAAAAAACAAAAAACAAAGACAGTAATTAGTCGCAGTTCCAACTTCACATACTTTCCTTCAATAAAACGTCAAGGCTGTTTGCAGATGTTAGTCGTGAAAAGATTTTCAAAAAATTGTTAGCAGTTGCATTTTCCTCTATATATAACCTGAAAGTATATAGTTCCGTCACCTAGCTGGCTCGGGAATATAGACTGCAGATTTCATTTACAAAGCTTTTCGGCATGGTTTGTCTTGCAACTGCATGTTCAGAAAATGGCGAGTAGCCAGAGATACCTAGTGGCGCCTTTTGCGATTAACTGCGTTTGCAACTATATATCTGGTGTCACTGATGCTTCCATCGAGGATGAACTGCACTTCTAGTGTCGGACTGTTGGTAGTACTACCAACGACAGCTGTCTGATGCATTTAAGGCGTGAGTATGCTGTCAGTTGTACTTAGATTGCTGTCTGTTTACAATGGTCAATAATGGATAATTAGGACGGTTTTCTTTGGCCCAGGAACGAAGCAACAGTTGGGTCACCTGTTTGATATAATGCTGGATCTGAGGTTACCTGATTATCTCATCATCTAGGGTAAATATAATCTAGGGATAAATATAATCTAGGGGTAAATATAATCTAGGGTAAATATAATCTAGGGGTAAATATAATGTAGGGGTAAATATAATCTAGGGGTTAATATAATCTAGGGATAAATATAATCTAGGGATAAATATAATCTAGGGGTAAATATAATCTAGGGATAAATATAATCTAGGGATAAATATAATCAAGGGGTAAATATAATCTAGGGATAAATATAATCTAGGGATAAAAATAATCTAGGGGTAAATATAATCTAGGGATAAATATAATCTAGGGATAAATATAATCTAGGGATAAATATAATCTAGGGATAAATATAATCTAGGGATAAATATAATCTAGGGATAAATATAATCTAGGGATAAATATAATCTAGGGGTAAATATAATCTAGGGATAAATATAATCTAGGGTAAATATAATTTGCTACCAGAGAAATTAATTATTTGTTACATTGCTTAGTACTAATTTTAGGCTACCTCAATTCACCCCCCCCCCCCCCCCCCCCCACCATCCTCAAAATGCCATCATAGAACGTGTTTCAGAAATTAAATATAGCAGTAGAGTGCAACGGTATTAAACAGGCATCTGAGTTTTAATATCTGGGAACAACATTTTACTGAAGTTGGTAAATTAAATGGAGAAATTAACATCCGATGCAATAAAGCAGTCCAAATATTGGGAGAGCTAGCCCCCACCCACCCCACCCGCCTTTTCCCTCTTTTTTTTTTTTTCTTACTGCATAACATCACCACAGGCCACACACACACACTCAAAATCTCATACAAAGCATATTCATTCCCGCCCTATGCTAACAGTGCCAGACATGGTCACTCGCAACAAACCAGTGCACGACATGGTCACTCGCAACAAACCAGAGAAAAGAAATTAGTAATCATGGAAATGAGATGTCTAAGAAGAGCTGCACGAGTGACGATAAAAAAATCAGGAATGAGGACATAAGAGAAAAAGTCGGCACATAATCAGTTATAAATGACATACAAAGACAACAAATCAACTCGTTTGCCCACTTGTAGATAATGACTCGTGATGCCATTCATACAAGACATACACCAAAATAGAAGAAGGACAAAGAGCACGAGGTAGACTAAGAACAAGATGGAACAAATCTGAGAAAACTACAACAACACAATCTGTTCTTGGTCAAGACAGCCAGAAGAGCAAGAAAGAGAACCTTCAAACTCCCTCGACTCCTGAAATGGTAAAAGAGGAAGTGAAGAAGAAGAAAATCTTATAACGTGCACACAAACAAGTGACCAACTGAAGCTCCATTCTGTGTAGAGATTAACTAACGCGTCAGTGAATGCTACTTACTTGCGCTCGGGTGACAGAGACTTTCCTGAAGCCGGCTCGGAAGGTTCTGGAGGCTTCACACTGACTTTATTGAGCCTCCTATGGTGTGCTGTTGGTTGAACCTTGTCCCTCTTCCTCTGATACAACGCCGGTCTGCTTGTAACTTTAAAACTGCGACATTTTAGTATTGGAGCTGAAGTAACATGAAGGCCATAGTCCGATTCAGCAATGTTGGGCAGGTAATGAACGCTGACTTCTTCGCCTCCTTTCGGTGCCGAGATTAATGTTTCCAAGAAGTGAGGGATTATATCTTCAGCGTCTTCCTCAAAGAAGTAGCTTTCATTGTATATGATGCCACTAGGCTTGAGTCTTTCGCTCCAGGTCTGAATCAGCCGACTGCTTTCACTTGTGTTTGAGGCTTTGGGTTGATGATAATCCTGTTTACTGAGCGCATGTGCAAACTGAAACTGTCCTGGAAAGGCATGAATCACGTCTGGATCGTGTATCTGCCATCTTTCTATACCTTCATGCTCCGAAAGTTCTTTTCTGTTTTTCATTTCTTCTTCCTCCAAGTTATCTGAAATTAAATATACATATACGATAAATGTTCGTTTACATCTGCATGCTTTAGAGAAAATATCCACGGAATGCTTACCGGCACATCTGAAACGATGCTTGCCACTCTTCGCGGAGCACACCGTCGCTACCACCCATAGCATGTTTTGTGAGCCTGTTACCATCGCAACATATGGGTGCAGCCGGTTGTCAAGTTAGCAGAAAACTGCTAGGACTGTCCCCACCTCAGTTCTCAAACTTGATGTTGTTGTATCATCTGCTAGGCTTTGCTGCACTAAGCGGCTTACATTCGCTTTAGCAATGAACTCATATGTATATTTTCTGTATCTTAACACCTAATAATCTGTTTAGATAATACCATCACCTTAATAAAAGCTATCATGAATGACTGACTGACTTTCTACCCCAACAGGACATCACACAAGCGATAAACATGCGATAGCACAATGTGCCACCATGTGGATGAGGATCACCGTGGAAAGTTCCCAGAAACCGCGTTCAGCCATTATGCCATATATATGGTCAGGCTATTTGCGGCCCCTGGCAACAGCCAGAGTAGGGCTTCAAAGAACGAAAAATGTCATCCTAAAATGGACGGTAAGTATGTATGTTGTTATCATGAATGGATTTGACTGACTGACTTTCTACCCCACCAGAACGTCCCACAAGCGATAAACACCCGATGACACAAAGTGTCACCATGCAGATGAGAATCACCGTGGAGAGGTCCCAGAAACCGCGTTCAGACAACTGGCCATATTGATGGCCTGCCTATATTGCGGCCCCTGGCAAAAGCCAGAATGGGGCTTCAAATAACACAAAATTACATCGTAAGAAGGACGTAAAGGATATAACATGAATGGATTTTGGATTGGATTGGCTTTTTACCCCACCAGGACATCACACAAGCGATAAACACCCGATGACACAAAGTGCCACCATGCGGATGAGGATCACCGTGGAGAGGTCCCAGAAACCGCGTTCAGACATTTGACCATAATGATGACCTGCCTATATTGCGGCCCCTGGCAAAAGCCAGAGTGGGGCTTCAAATAACAAAAAATAACGTCCTAAGAAGGACGTAAGGAATTAAATGGATTTTTAGGATTGGATTGGATTTTTTACCCCACCAGGACATCACACAAGCGATAAACACCCGATGACACAAAGTGTCACCATGTGGATGAGGATCACCGTGGAGAGGTCCCAGAAACCGCGTTCAGACATTTGGCCATATATGACCTGCCTATATTGCGGCCCCTGGCAAAAGCCAGAGTAGGGCTTCAAATGACAAAAAATTTCGTCCTAAGAAGGATAAAGTTAGAGCTGCTTTTTAGGATTGGATTGGATTTTTTACCCCACCAGGACATCACACAAGCGATAAACACCTGATGACACAAAATGCCATCATGCGGATGAGGATCACCGTGGAGAGGTCCCAGAAACCGCGTTCAGACATTTGGCCATAATGATGACCTGCCTATATTGCGGCCCCTGGCAAAAGCCAGAGTGGGGCTTCAAATAACAAGAAATAATATCTGAAGACTTTTTAGGATTGGATTGGATTTTTTACCCCACCAGGACATCACACAAGCGATAAACACCCGATGACACAAAGTGCCACCATGCGGATGAGGATCACCGTGGAGAGGTCCCAGAAACCGCGTTCAGACATTTGGCCATAATGATGACCTGCCTATATTGCGGCCCCTGGCAAAAGCCAGAGTGGGGCTTCAAAAAACAAAAAATAACGTCCTAAGAAGGACGAAAAGTGGTTAAAACATAAAAGACTTTTTACATTTCAGATTCTTTAAAGCCCACTGCCCCCCCCCCCTCCCCCCCCCCAAAAAAAAATGTGACCAGAACCAACGCAAGTCTGCTTTTTGCTGAAAAACTTTGACCCTCTCCTCTCTCTGCCAGATTTTTCAAGCATACATACATCTCTAACTGGGTCTTCTGCTTGTGTCATCCAAGACCGTTATCTGTTCAGCCTATGGCCCTTAGCTGTATCCAAGGCTTCATCAAGGTGTTTCTTTTATCTAGGGTCATCTCCCTTGTAATGTTTTCAGCCTCTCTGCAATAGTCGGTAACGCAAGGATTGATGACAAACAGACTTATGGGGTACATCTAGTACATCCTAGAATCTCCAGCATGGCCTTATTCTGTATGCGCTCAAGCTTCACTAGCTGACGTTTTGATACCGTGAGCAGTCCCAGTTTATAACCCATCACCGAGATGATCAAGTGCTGATACACTGCAAACATCCTGCTTTGCTCCATGTACATTGTGCCACATCCTTCAGTGTATTATGCCCCTTTAGCATTTTACTGCAGCCGTCTTCAAATGCTTCACTGATGATAGGTTTCTATCGAATGTGATACACAGGACCTCAATATGCTGTCTTTGTTGATGTTTCTCTCATTACTCTTGGTAATCTTAGTTTCAGCTTCATGGCAAACGGGTCATCCCATAGTTTCTCTGCTCCTGTGCCAACGAAAAACACACAGAATGTTCATCACAGTCCCTCGTGAATAGATTGACAGACTGCTGTCTCAACAATACTAAGGCTTGGAACAGCAGCTCTTACTGTGATATTGCCCAGCGAGTACCACAAAACTGCTTGTTCAGCGTTGATAACAGCAGACATCTCCCTGCACAGTTACTTTGTCTACTGTCTACGTAGCTCCTGAGTTTTCGTTTGAGTAGCTCTAGGCTGACTATGTGCAAGAATATATCTGCATTTGTCAATATCCGTTCAATACCAGGTTCCTCCGGTTCTGTAATCTTGCTCGTGGAGCCGAACGGCAAAAGCTAATGATTTTAGTTTTATTTCACTTGTAAAATAACCTGGCCACTGAGCATGAAAAGACGGAGGCACCCGAAAACTATTTTCTCTAGTAGTTAAGCTGTGTGAGTACATATATCAGTATACATCATCTCTTAGAGATATTTGATTTTATGTGAATGCTCATCTGTGCTAGATAAGGTGTTCAGCACACGTGTGTGTGTGTGTGTGTGTGTGTGTGTGTGTGTGTGTGTGTGTGAAAGCGATGTTAATTGTTAATGTAATGTTATCTTTGAAGCGCTCAGTCTTGTGATTCAGTAAAATAAACAGATGTTCAATGTGATAATTATATTTACAGTTGTTTTGATTAGAGTTAGGACTGATATTTGGGGATGTCTAGTTTTAGTTGTACTGATGATTAGACTTGATACAAAATATATCCTGTCTGGGCTGGAACGCCATATTTTTCTTGTTACTACGGCAGCCTAAGGTTGGGTTTTGGCTTCCCATTCACCACGTTACATTATTTGTTAGAACTCTTGTAGGTTCTGAGTCGAGGTATGTTCTAGGAGTAGATTTCCATATTATCCTTTCCATATTTATCTCCTCCCTAGTCTCAAGTGCAATATCCCCCTTAGATTTCGCTTCGAGTTCACTCGTATACATATATAAGAGCACTGCTGACATTGCAGCTCTATGTGGCTAGTCAGGCGGCTATATTTCACGACTCTGAACCCACGCACACAGAAAAAAGACAACCATACTAGAACACAGGACAGATGCTATCCAGTTGACCAGCCAGAGACAGACCCTATGTAAGCGTGGACATCAAAATATCATATCAGACTCTACTGCATGCGTTCTCAAGATCAAGTACCGTTACAACTATCTTCTGAACATTTTGAAACCTCTTAAACATAAAATGCTAAGCTGGCCAATTTTGACCAAGCATCTTTCCTTGTCTGGTAAACACCCAACCTTGGTGGGAAATCTTCTCCGGCAACTTGCCATGTCACACAGAAATTCATGCTAACTAATAAAAGCCACACATATACGACATGATCGACGCAATCTAAGCAACCATACACAGGAACAGCCCAGTGGGTCTCACGTTAACACATAACCATATAATTCAGTATCAACACATAGGCTAACAACTTAAGTAAACAATACGGAGTCTCCCCCCCCCCCTCCCCATGTGTGTTAGCCCCACCCATTTACACACTTGGTCAGTTGTTACTCGTGCTTCGTTAGGTTCGTCAACTTTGCTGATATCGGTGCTGTATATTCCAGCACATCGGTCCCTATACAAGCTTCCCCACAAGAGTGCTGCAACCTGCTTCACATGCATTATGTTTCTCGGAATTAAAACGTAAACGGAAGACAACACAGAAAGCATTTCGAGGAAAAAGTACACCAGGACACCCCCGTAACCTTCAGCAAAGTTTACAAGCCTGAGCAAGCACCAATCAAAAGTGACCTAGTGTGTAAATAGGCGAAGCTGACCCAGATGGGGTGGGGAGGTGGGGCTCTGTAGAATTTACCCAACAGAAACAGGTATAGTTTAGAAATGATAGACAGCTTGTGTGTATAGGTAAGTGTGTGTGTATGTGTGTGTGTGTGAGAGAGAGAGAGAGAGAGAGAGAGCTAGCAGGAGAGAGAGAGAGAGAGAGAGAGAGAGAGAGAGAGAGAGAGAGAGAGAGAGAGAGAGAGAGAGCTTTCGTGTGTCGGTGTGTATGAAAGAGAGATTGTGTATGAGAGTAAGCGCCCGCGCGATTATGTGTATGTGTGTGTGGGTTCGCTATACCACATTGCTGAGCGAACAGTTCTGATACTCCAGTCTGTGCCAACATATCTTCGTCACTGTCTTTCTTGAGCTGGGCCCCGTCACTGAAGTTGCCACTCTGTAGACAAACAGTTGCAACAAAAACGATACTTGCTGTTCGAATGTTGTTTGTGACTTCAGACAGGCAAGACACCGTGTCATAATTATAAATTCAATCAGCCCCTCTCCCCCACTCCCCAACCCTTGACCCCGAATGCAAGGGTGTTGTGAGCATATGGTGACAGGCCCAATTGTAAGGACCGGTCCACACTAGATCCGTGGTGTGGTCAGTAACCGCCGGCCACTTTCACTTGGCTGGTATCTCTGTTAAGTTGGGTGAACCTGTGAACCGACACCAAACATCGCCCTCATGAGGACTTGACTCTGTAATTATGGAGGTTTATTAACTCAGCACTCAGGTGCTCCGATCTCCTTCTCCATAGCTCCACATAAGTAAAACGACTGATCACACCCGTTCTGTGTTGATTAATCAGACGTCCCGTGCCTTTGATAAAATGTTCATGTCTGGCTGTCCCAGGTCGCACAACTGTACATTTTCGGGCAATGGTTGTAGCAGCCTTGTCTGCCACATCATCTACATACTGATTGTTGTGAACACCTTAATGGGCAGGACTCTTCATTGTCTTCAACCTCTTCAACATTTACACAGTCACGAGGAGGACAACTAAGTGGCAGACGAAGAACACTATCATATGCGAATGATATCCTCGTACAACGACAGGGCAGAAACAGAGATGGCATTGTTTCGGGTCTACAACATTAATTAGATCGCATATCATCCTGGTGCAATACCTCAGGGGCAACAATTATTCAATCAAAAGTGACCGTCACACAGATACCGTTGGCAAAAACCTGGAGAGATCTGATTCCATGAAATACCTGGGTATATCATTTGACAGATGCTTAGCATTTAAAAAACACGTAGACCACATTATAACCAAAGCCAAAAGAGGTCTCTTCCCAATAGAAGTTATGGGAGCTACGAGCTTTGAGCAACGGCTACTTGTAATTCTACATCATGAATTAGTTAACTCCAGCTTTGAATATGCCTTGGCTAACATGACATACAGCAACACACAGATGAATAGATTTGGAAAAAATTGAAAACGAGGCAATGCATAGTATACTTGGATGCACTAGAGACACCTCCTGTAAATCCATGCGATACCTCTTGGCGTTCCCTACAGTTGGTCCAGTAACAGAAGCGATGTGATCAATGCCACGCGCTGCACTTACTGTGACGTCGATCACGCCTAAGAGCATGACTCCGTATCCCTGTCTAGACTGATGGACATGGGGATGCAGCCTGGAGCTGCAAGACATTAACATTTCACTAAGGGGACAGGACGTTTCATTAATCAATACCACCAAAAAAAAAAAAAAAAAAAGGCATCATCAGGCGTTCTACACATTGTGGCGATCTTGGGGAGGAGATCGCAGCACCTTAGGTCTGTTTGGAGTGCTGTGATGATAATCCTGACTAATCACAAATTGCAAGCCTAGAAGCACCAGGAGTTGGAAGGATACTGTCGCGGATGATATACTCGCATATAGGCAGGGGGAAGAGAGGCAACAAACAGCCAGAGAGCTACAAGCGACAGTGGACAAAGTGACTGAGTGGTGTACAGAAATGAGGGCTGTCGTCGACCCGGAAAAGGGGTCTGTTTTGTGGTGTTCTCTGGACAACAGCATCTTTAAAGCTAATGTCCTAAGTCTCACAATAGATGGTAGAAACATCAACAGAGAGAGCAAACTGAAGTATCTGGGAATTACATTTGACAGGAGTCTGTCCTTTAAGGACCATGTGGAGAGAATTGTGACAAGATGTCAAAAAGGACATGGTGCACTTAAGACTATGGCTGCAATTGACATAGAGCAGAGAATGCTTTTCACACTATATCAGCACCTGATCCTGTCAGTGGTTAATTATGGCCCGGGAATGCTTACCATCGCATAGAGCCAGATGGACAAACTAGAGCGCATACAGAATCCAACAATGCGAGTCATTCTGGGTTGCACCAGAGACACCCCAGTGGTGTGTATGCGATACATCCTTGGTTTGCCGACTGTTGCAGGTAGGCATAGGTGCTGTAGGTGAAGTCATATCTTAGGGTAGCTGCAGACACAGACCATCCTTTGCACGAAGCTCTGGGTGCAGTTAAAGGTCAGCGGCTGATAAGATGGAGGTCATGGATGGCTCAGTCAGAAGACACAATCAGACAGGTTTGCATCCTTGAGAACATTAGGCGAGGAGAGGAGTGGGTCAAAGTGCCACCTGAACAGTCAGACTTAAGTAGGGTCGTTATCACACTGAGCCGGGAATGCAGAGACTGGCCATTAGGTGCCACAGAGGTGGAAATTCAGCAATTAATTCAAGATAATGCTCGCTTAGAAGATTTGATCATTTACACAGACGGTTCAGTGTCAAGAGGCAAAAGATGTGTTTGGGGTTTCTTAGCAAAAGTTAATGGTCACCGTTTGGCGCAGGAGAGCCTATCATATGATACCACAACATCCAGCTTAAGAATGGAGGTGGAGGCGGTCACTGCAGCTTTCCGCTGGCTAGAGAACACGACACACAAACACACACACATCGTGATTGTAACTGACTCAGATAGCATGCTGAGGAAGATCAGGACAGGCATGCTTCGAGCTTCGGGTGAGAAGTATTGTCTGGATTTTTTCACCAGGGAATACCGGTGTGTTAGGAAATAAACAGGCGGATAGACTGGCTGACTCTGCACAACTTGGTGGAATACTGATACATGATAAGGCAGATGTGGTTAGTACCTTGTGGGAGAGCGTGTACAGTTCGCAGGAGCAGATGGATCATCACAGTTTGGTTAGATTGATTCAGTTGGGGGTGACGAGAGGTTCTGGTAGATGCTCGAGGCTCAGAGGAAAGGCAAGACGGACATTTAATTAGAATGCTACTGGCACCATTAGTATCGGAACTCTTCGCTGACTGGTGAAAATGGGGACGAAGCGCTTATGGGTAT